TCTGTGCTGCCATGGTTGGTCCTATAGGTTGGCTCATGTTTGAGCTTTCCCTATCATGTCTCGGTTGTTCTATGTTTGAACCGTGATATGTTGTGGCCTTTTGGCTGCCCCTGATATACATTCGAGTTTCTTTTAATAAAATTTGATGTTTGGTTAAAAAAAAAGACCATGCAAATGCAAAAAGTAGTGTCAAAAAAATAAAATGTAAGTCATACATATAGATATTTATACAATATTGAACATTTGATTATATATAAAGTTGTTTCATACTTGTCGTTCTATGCATCATAAATTAAATTTTTAATCACTTTCTATTTGTAACTCTAGAAATAACAAGGGTTCATGGGTTTCTTAATCTTTTTTTTAAGAGGATTAATAACAGTTTCCCACTTATTCTTAGTATGACTTGAACAAGAGACTTATTGGTTCCAAATAAAGAGTGCTACCAACTGAGTTATCTCTTCTCGTGGTTGTGGTTAAGGTTGATGGGTTGGTGTTATTGTGTTAAATCATCAATTAGGATGACATATTTTGCAACTATTTATTTTGTAACTTCATCATATTTGTTTCGAAGTTTAATTTGCTGCCCAAATGACTCACTTATTAATTTAAATAATAGTAGAATATGTAATTTTGTTAAAGAATTTTACAAATATTAAGAAATTAAAATGAAAATTGATGGTGATGATCATCGTATTAATATCGGTGGTGGTGGACCTAGAGTGGGTGCTCAAAGATGGAGAGTTACGCTAGAACCTTGAGAAAATCATCATTTCAAAGGGAAATGCGCTTAAGGGACCAGTCACCTCATGCATAGCTACCTTATGTCATGTGTCATAATATGCAACTGTAGCTATTAAACGAAACAAGTCGCTAATGAGCTTGACTCGATTCATCTCATCTCGTTAAGGCTAGACTCATTTGATAAACAAGCTGGCTTGTAGAATTTTTATATAATTTTCTATATATAATTAAGCTCGTTAAAAACTCGAATTCGACTTATTAAGTTTCAACTAGGCTCGCTTGCACCCTTCTTTGCAACACATACTTTTCTATTGCTTCGGCAAATTGTTACAAGGAAATATGCTATTTTTATTTATGTCGATATTGCATATAGTATATGTAAGATTTTTGGGGACTAATCTATAACTTCCAAACTTCTTGCTTTAGAGCCATAAAAAGAACCTAAAATTGTGAAGTATGCTTTAACTAGTCTCAAGGTTTTCGAATAGGTGACTATAACAATAAAAATTTTATATAACGATCTCTAAAAGTGGGTAAAAAATTAATTTTTTTGCGTACAAAATTGTACCGAATTGGTCCCGGTTCAAAAAATACAATTTCGAAATAGTTTTTTTATGGTATTGTTATCGGTACCAAAACGTTAAAAATAATATCGGCATCATTTTTCAATATATTTATCACGAACCGTCCCGTTTATTCCAGTTCAATTACCTTGATGCAATAAGAGAGAGAGAGAGAGAGAGAGAGAGAGAGAGAGAGAGTTATGATCATAATGAAAGAAATAAGAATAAATTTATACCATTGAATCTATCATATTAATGGTTATGATCAAGTCAAACTTTTATAATGACAATCACATATATAATGGAAATATGACAAATATTTGAACATATCATGGCCAAATATGCACATTTGACCATGTAATTTGGTCATTCATACAAGTTCCACTAACCTACCCACTTTACTGGGTCCCAACCCAACCCACCTATCATGCCCCATCTCTCTCACACACAAACACACACTCCTGTTCACGGTTCACGCACACACACAGTCACCATCCGCCACCCACCGCCTAATGCCCTGTCGCCCGCTGCAGGCACAGGCGCTACCACTACTAGCCTCGCCGCAGCCAGAGTCCACAACCGGAATCCTCTTGGCCGCCTCATTCACCGTCCAGAAAACCCGACATAATTGCCAATAAGGGGTACTTCGTCTAATCTCCATTTCTGCTACCACTTTTCAGTCTGGGACTGGCGACTGCGACAGAACTGTAACTAGATCCCGACCCGAGACTCGATTCGGGAGTTATGGTATGTCAAAGGAGATGAAATGGCGGCCTTCGGAGTCGGGTATGGGGAAGATATGTGGGGTTACTCAATCACCTAATTGAATCCACTGTCATAATCGTAGTCGGGGCAATTGACGTACAAATTCGGCCAGAAAATGATGGCGATGGGGATGATTTTCTATTTTACATATTTGAAAGTGTTGGAGGCATACATTTGAGAATTTGATAAGTCCGAAGGACTTAATTGCAATTTCATGAATTTTATTAAATTTTAATTTAATCTCTGGGTCAAATCTATAATTTATAATAAATATTCTAATGAACAATAATGATAAAGAAAGTGAACAATATCACATGATAAATTCCCATTATAAGTGAAATTTTAAAAGTAAAAAATATATAATCAAACTGCAATATGAAATTTCCAACCGAAAAAGTTAGTTCGGTTCATTTCGGTCGCTATTATGATAGTCATTAATGTTCAATTCATATAACAATATTGTGCACTTGCAATACATAAATAATACAACCACAAATAATGTAACGCCCCAAATCAGTAATAAGAACGGTTTCACTGCTAGACTATAAGTGAAATCCGTAATTTTTAGAATTTTCGAGTTATATTTTATATGCTAAATGCTCAATAAATTCTTTAAATTTGATAGATCATTCATGGGAATTTTCTATATTAAGTATAAGTCAAGATCAATCCATTAATTTGGGTTGATAAGTTATAGTTAATTGACTCGAGAGCATGGTGGTTCGTGGGAGCAATTGATACCCACTGTGGAGTTTGCCTATAATAACAGTTTCCACTCGTCGATCAAGATGGTGCCATTCGAAGCTTTATACGGTTGCAAGTGCCGCTCACCCACTGGTGGTTCGTGGGAGCAGTTGATACCCACTGTGGAGTTTGCCTATAATAACAATTTCCACTCGTCGATCAAGATGGCGCCATTCGAAGCTTTATACGGTTGCAAGTGCCGCTCACCCCTTTATTGGGATGAGGTCGAAGAGAAGCAGGTTCTCGGTCCCAAGCTGATTGAGGACACAGTGCAGAAGTTCGTCGAGATCCGAGCGAGATTGAGAGAGGCTCAGAGCCGACAGAAGGCCTACGCTAACAAGCGTAGAAGGGAGCTTGAGTTTGAGCAGGGAGACAAAGTATTCCTGAAGGTCACGCCGATGAAGGGTGTGTTCCGTTTCGGGAAGAGGGGGAAGTTGCAGCCCCGATTCATAGGGCCATTTTATATCTCGAGCGAGTTGGTGTAACAGCCTACCGTCTGGCGTTACCCCCAGAGCTCTCGGGTGTACACAACGTCTTCCCTGTGTCGATGTTGAGAAAGTACGTGTACGACCCGAGTCACATAGTGAACTTTGACGGGCTAGAGGTCGGGCAGAACCTGACGTATGATGAGCGGCCGGTAGCAGTTCAGGACTGAAAGGTCCGTCGACTGAGGAACAGAGATATAGAGCTCGTCAAAGTTTGCTGGAGTCGCCACGACAAGTCGAAAGCCACTTGGGAGAGAGAGGCCGAGATCAGAGCTCGTTATCCAGATTTCGAGTTTTAAGATTTTCAGTTGTACATATATGTACTTTTTATTTTATGTTTTGATGTATATAGTCTTGTAGTAGGAGGTTCTGGCCTAGTACCTTAGTTTTGTATTTCTGAGGACGGAAATATTTTAAGGAGGATAGGTTGTAA